CATCCTCCTAAGGAGATGCTTTTGCTATGAGTATGAGTTGAGTGTATTTTCAGAAAGAAATAACTTTTTGTAAAAGGATTTACTTAAAATTAAAGTCATAGGTGCTTCTTTGGTATTCATTCTTTAAGGATTTCAAACATGCTTTGCCCACCTGTTGCATTGTTATAAAACAGGATAGATGCTCTTTCTTGGACCATTAAGGAAGAGATGCCATCCATGCAGAACTAATTTTATGAGTATATACAAATTCATAATTTCATAGTCAATATTGTTCAAATAGAATTTTAATTTTTATATATATAATAGGTTTAGCTAATTAATTTAACCATTGTCCTCCTTATCTAGTTTGGATAGAGTACCTCTCTTCTCAAAATAGTGTGGAAATAAATGTGTGGGGTTTGATGCTCTATTTATTTATGACTTTCAAAATGTTTTCTCTCATTTCTCCTCAGTATTATTTAATTTAAATGGTAATGCATCCAGTTTGAAAGGCAGCAGAAGTCACCAGAAGCATGAAGTTCAAAATGATAGAAATTTTATAGGAGAAAAAAAACACCATTGTTTGTCTGGAACAATTTACATAGGTTATAGGGTAAGGTGGGTTTTTTTGGTAATTGTTGTTGCATTTCTCTCCAAATGTAGACCCATGTGATTTCTCACTATATCAATCATTTATAGCCATTTAGGTAATAATGTTCTGACATGCCTTTCCTACCATCTTATTTTATGCCATTTGCCCAGTTCCTTGGAATGCTGCACCTTTTGCTGTTTGGTAACAGTAAATGCACTCTGTAATATCTATTATGGCATGGTCAAAGGCTAATTTATTGTCAAATAGAAAAAATAGGTCAACACTAATGTCACTTGATGATCAAGCCCCCCTCCCCCCCCCACAGTTTAATAAAACATCTCACCAGCATGCATCCTGCACAGCGGTTGATATTTTATTACAACTGCAGTACCTGGGCTGTAGCAGTGGTGTAATTACTGAGCTGTCAGAGTGATAAGTGGGATTAATGGCAGACTGATGCACTTTAGTCTTCAGAGTGCTCTGAGAATTGGAAGATGGTGTTGTTATAAGAGTCTGTCTATACTGGCATATTCGCAGCGCTTCCAGCTCCCTCCCTTCCCTGCCAATGCCACAAATTCAAGCTTGCATTGCCCTGCCTCATTAACATTTGACATTTTCAACAGCTGTTATTTATGAGCCAGTTCCATAATAATAATAAAATAAAATATGGAGATGTACAGTGTTTGGTGAAAGATGCATAATGACGCCATTATACATGTGCTGTAGTGCAAAAAATGGCTTCCTGGTCAATCTTGATTTGATCTTGTTTTATTTTACCTGTCCTGGTTGAATTTAACAGTCATTGCTTTGAATGGTGATTCGTCTGGTAATGTCTTCCAAGATGTCTACTTTTACATAATTATATTCATCTTCTCCTTTATTAAGAGCCAAAACATTGTTTTCTCATAAATTTGAACTTTAAAATTGAACTTACCTATATTTTATTCAAAGGTAACTCTCACTTTTAACCATATTCTCCTCTTGAATGTTATGGTACTTCTATATTTTCTCAATTTTGTTTTGAATATCTTTTCAACCTCTCTCTTTCTCAAGTAAAGATTACATTTTGGATTAAATACTCCTCTTGAATGTAAGTTTACCACCTTACATTCAACATATGATTATAAATAACAGGACATGATTATTATTTGATAACATAAGAAGGGTCTGAATGTAGAAGACTGCAACTCACCACGTCTTAAAAAGTATGAATTGATACTTTATACTTTACCTCTTAGTTTTTAGAAAATGCATATTAATAAGTGTAATACTTGGAGCAAGTAAAACAGTAGTTCTACAGTTTCTGTTTTCCAGATCTGGCTAAAATTTGGAAGAAAGATATAGAGATTTGCCTGAAATCACCTCATATACTTGAGTCTGACTCTAATGCTCTGACACTTTGAAAGTGGAAAAAAAGTTTAAAAAGAACAACAACAAAGGAATGCTTAGATCAGAGTGAAGTTTATTAAGAGCAAGGAATTTTATGGGTTTTGATTAAGTTCGTAAGATGGGAATAAGTTTGCATTCCTCTATAACCTTTTGAAGATTGATCATTTGTCCCTGATCGTTAAAGTTGATTTAACAGAACCTGTTCATGTCATCTCTACATGACATGATTTATATTACTTCAAATATATCTTTTGTGTATGGGTCAGACAGGGACAAATGAAAACAATATATCATAAACCATGATATCAGTATCATGATTTGGGCCTTTCCGTATGATTTGAAGATTCCTGTTGCCCAACTCCAGCCTTTAGTTTTTCTGTTTTTCTTTTCAAAACATGACCATATGCTCCTCATTTTTTAGATGTGGTTACTTTAATATGAAACTTCACCTGGGCCAACTCTGTTTTGAGGTAACACAAACAGTCCCAAGTCTGGATAAAGTGGCCAGCTTATAGAACAATTAGAAGTGTAGTAGAAATCCAATGCTTTACTTATCTTGGTAGCATTATATCTATGAATGGAGGTACAGTTAAGGATATTAACCATCAAATTGGAATAGCAGCGGCAGTGTTTCAGCGCATGCGCCCAATTTGGTCCACACAGCTATAAGTATTACCACAAAGAGTATTGTTATATCAACTGCAATACACACACACATATATGTATATATATATATGTTTTCTTAAGTTTTCGCGGGTACTTACATGTATGGTATTCAGCTTTGTTCGGGTATTTTCCCACGTCATTATAGTTGTGCTTTTAAAGTTGTAGCAACATTTTGGCAGAATCTCATCTGCCATCATCAGGCTTCTGTATTGTGTTCGTCTGATGAACACAATACAGAAGCCTGATGGTGGCAGATGAGATTCTGGCGAAACATTGCTACAACTTTAAAAGCACAAGTATAATGACGTGGGAATTTTGAGTAGTTCGAAGAACTGGCAAATATGTCATCTCTGACTGGCCTGGCTCCTATCTATTCTTTGCCTCCCGAGTCCCAACTGATTGGCTGGGTTTTCTTTTGTTGCCCTGCACAGGAGAACAGAGCTGGAAATCAGGTTAGTAGGGTGGGGAGGAAATGGGGATTTTGCAGTAACCTTCCCCCGGAGTGGGTGGGAATGGAGATTTTACAGTATCCTTCCCCAGAGTAGGATGGGAATGGAGATTTTACAGTATTCTTCCCCAGAGTAGGATGGGAATGGAGATTTTACAGTATTCTTCCCCTGCCATGCCCACAAAGCCACACCCATCAAGCCATGCCCATAGAACTGGTAGTAACATTTTTTGAATCCCACCACTGATGGAAATGTACAACCATAATTAAACAGTTAAATGTTCAACAATGCTGCTTGAGAATCTTCTGCATCTCATATCATGACCATATCACTAATGAAGAGTTAGTTAAGATTTAGAGTTAAGATTTAGATTTAGAACATCTATTGAGAACTGTGAATGAATGTCAAATCCAGCTTGTTGGCGATGTCTTATATATGCCTAAAGGCTGCCATCCAAAAATTGCACTATGTTGGCTACCTCCTGGAGGAAAGAGAAAAGGAGGCCGATCTCAGAAAACCAAACGTCAAACACTTCAGGAAGTTCTTAAGATTAATAAAATGATGGGAATGATCAAAACCATTGGAGAACACTTGCTGGCAATGTGATCTGCACATGACCTGATCCTGATGATGATGACAATGATGATAATGATGATGACTTTAGTATGACCTCCTTTGATTGAAAGTTAAGCCATAATTTAACATACCTGTAGATTATCCAAATATATCCGGATTGTAAACCATAGCCTGAAATTTATTTATTTGCACATACTAGTAAAGCTTGAGAAGAGGATCACTGTAAGGTCAGAGCTTGTTCAAATGGCAATACAGGTAGTCCTTGATTTACAGTCATTCATTTAGTGACTATTCAGTATTACAACAGCATTGAAAAATGTTCCTCATATTTACAACCAGCACAGCATCCCCGTGGCCATGTGATCAAAATTTGGTTGCCAGGAATCTAACAGGTATTTACAATGTTTGCAGCATCCTGGGCTCATACAATTGCCATTCACAACCTTCCCAGCCAGCTTCTGGAAAGCAAAGTCAACGGGGAAAACTGGATTTGAACACATGATTCACAATTGCAGTGATTCACTTAACAACTGTGGCTAAACAGATTGTAAAATTGGGTGTCTCAACAATCGCTTCACTGAAAAACATAAATTCTAGTCTGAATTGTGATTGTAAGTTGAGGACCACATGTATGATATAGATTAGTGTTACGCTTAGACACAAATTAGTGTATTGATTTTTTTGTTGTTGCTCTTTATCAGTTTTTCAAGCAATTGTTAAGCAGAATGCTAATATTTATGAAAGATTTATACTGTGGAAATGTCCAGAATAGAATTAATAATTCTAAAATCAGTATATCTTGTTCTCTGTGTTAATATTAGGTTTACTCTGTCTTTCTCTGTTGGTATTTTATTTTGCTTCTATTGTGTTTTTATTGTTTTGATGGGAATATGCTCAAGAATGTTTAATACTTTATTGGGTGATAAAAAATACAAAAATGAAAAACTCATCAGGACTCTGCAAGCTGGGTAGGGAATGCAGTGCCTTAAAATCTGCTGGTTTAGGGCTACATGTTGCTTTTGCCTGTTGGAAATAAAGACTTTGCAGAAGAGTGTCATCACATAATACATGTCATAACAAATACATGCATTGGGGAATTGTATTTTATGGGTGGCTTGCTTTTCACTTTCAAGATTTGAATGATCTGGGATCAGCTGCCTTAGTTTACCTGTCTGTGACATGGGGATAATAGTACTTACCCATGGGAACCTTTCTGAGTTTCTGCCCGAACAGTAGAATATTATTAATTTTTAGATTGATTAGCTTCTGTCAGGTACATGGAAAAATTGTATGTTGTTGGCAGTGCTTTGTGCTCTAAGTCACTCTAACTCATTTACTTTCCTCCCCAGGTGCTTAAAGTGTGCAGATGCCCCCTGTCAGAAGAGCTGCCCAACTAATCTAGACATCAAGTCATTTATCACAAGTATTGCAAACAAGGTAAAAAAAAAAAGACAGAGGAAAAAGGAAGGCAGGAAGGAAAAAAATGAAAGCCAAAAGCTTCGGTTGCTGCAATTGTTTTGTATGATTGAATTACAATCCTTATCTTTGTGTGTAGCTTAATGAAATAATGTTTGGAGCAGCTATTACAAAATTTAGCAGACTTTTCTTAATTGCATAATTATTCTTGCTACTTTCCTGTGGAGATACTGTATGCTAAATACATAGTTAGTATATACATTGACTCTCAAATATCGTTTTATGGCTTTGGGTTTTAATATATCTTGACTGATATTATTTTGCGTGTTTATGTGTGTGTATGCATGTGGGCACATGTATGTATGCCTCTGTGCGTATGTGTCTATACACATGCACATACATAGACATATTGTACTATATTTACTATCTATTGTATATGTACTATAAATTCACTGTATAGGAGTTTTTTTTTTAAAGAATGGGACAGTTAGACACAAAGGGGTAGTAAGCATCATCAATTTCAGTTATATGGATGGAGTGAAACTAATACAGAGAATATTGAATGGAACCTGATTTTAACCTTGATTGTATGCCATACCAAACTATAATTTTTATAGGTCTTTCAACTTTGGATGATTACCCTGTAAGAATTGGAACCCAGATGTTGAGAACCTGTAGTAACTTCTCTTCTTATTTGAGTCAGTTGGAATGAACTAGTAGGATATATGTAGGAGAGGCTTTTTGAAATTTAGAGAAAATTTCCATTAAATCCTGGTTTTTTGCCTCTCTAGATTGTGTTCATTTATGGTATATGTTTTTGTTAGATTTCTGATTACCTTTATTTCATGAGCTTAAAGTACATGTTCTATTCCTTTCTCCATTGTTATTCTCTGTGTTATTCACACAGAAAGGTAATGTACTAAGCTGGGCTCAAAGATATTGATACATTTCCACAAATCAGTATAGGCAAGAACTGGGTCACCACGGTCCTACGGCAGCCTTTAAATCAGTATACAACTTAGAATTCTCCTGGTACTATGAGCAACTAAGGGTAGCCAAGAAGAGCAGATGATTAAAACAATGACAACATTATTATGTGAATCTTTTGACTTACATACTTTCATCAGATGTTGAGGTGCAAGCATGTAATGGCAGCACTTGCAGGACATCATGTTGGTGCCATCACAGATTGAGGGATCCAGATGTTAATTTTCTCTGATAGAGCAAGGCATTCTCTAACCTTTGGATTCACTCTCTACACTTAGTAAGTAGATGGGGAAATATAATAACGCCTCTAAGACTGAAGCTTGGATATTTATCTATCTATCTATCTATCTATCTATCTATCTATCTATCTATCTATCTATCTATCTATCTATCTATTTGATTTGTCAATTGCTTACAAGATAATAGGTATAAGTATAAACATAGTTATGAATACATGAAATGGATACATATAAGAAAAATAAAAAGAAACAATAGGACAGCGACGCTAGGCACATTGATGTGCTTATGCATGCCCCCTACAGACCTCTTAGGAAAAGGGTGAGGTCAATAGTAGACAGTCTGAGGTTAAAGTTTCGGGGGTTTGGTGAAGAAACCACAGAGTCAGGTAGAGTATTCCAGACATTGACTACTCTGTTGCTGAAGTTGTATTTCCTGCAATCAAGTTTGGTGCTAACCTTGAGTTTGTATCCATTGTGTGCTCTTGTACTGTTACGGTTGAAGCTGAAGTATTCATTAACAGGTAGGACATTGCAATGTATGATTTTATACACTATACTTAGATCGGACCGAAGGCAGCATAGTTCTAGGTTTTCTAGGTCTAGAATTTCAAGCTTGGTGGCATAAGGTATTCTGCAATGAGTAAAGGAGTGGAGAACTCTTCTTGTGAAATATTTCTGGACTTTCTCAACTGTGCTAATATCAGATACGTAATGGGGTTCCAGACTGATGAGCTGTATTCAAGTATTGGTCTAGCAAATGTTTTGTATGCTGTAGTTAGTAGTGTGATATTACGAGAGAAAAAGCTATGTAGGATTAGGTCAACAATTATTAATGCCTTTTTGGCTATGTAGTTACAGTGGGCTCTAGCACTTAGATCATTAGAGATGAGTACTCCAAGGTCCTTGACAGAGTTTGGATCCTCAACAAGGTCTTGACAATTCAGCTTGTATTTTATTTTCTGATTTTTTTTGCCAATATGTAAGACAGAGCATTTGTTTGTTGAGATTTGAAGTTGCCATTTGTTTGACCATTCTGATACATAGTCGAGGTCTTTTTGAAGGGTAGCAGTATTTTCTGTGGTATTGAATAGCCTTATATCATCAGCGAAGAGAACGCAATTGCTCTTAATATGATCACACAGGTCATTTATGTAGAGTATGAAGAGAGTTGGTCCTAGAACATTGGCTTGGGGGACACCACTGTTGACAGGTACAGAATTTGATAGGACCCTCCCAATTTTGACCATTTGTTGTCTGTTTGAGAGGAATGCTTCTATCCAGTTATGCAGGTGTACAGAGATACCATAAGATTTTAGTTTTAGGAGTAGTTTGTCGTGTACCACTGAATCAAAGGCTTTACAGAAATCTATGTAGATTGCATCTATTGCTTTGCCCTGATCAAGTTGTGTAGTCTATATGTTTTTGAAGTATAAGAGTTGTAGATTACAGGATAGTTTTTTTCTGAAACCAAATTATTTATTAGAGAATAGGTTGTTTATCTCTAAGTGGAGGATAATGGATTAGTTAATAATTGATTCTATGACTTTACAGGTGACTCAGCATAAAGAGATTGGTCTGTAATTTTCAACTAGGCTGGGGTCTCCCTTTTTGAAGATGGGGATGGCTGTGGCTTGTGACCATAGTTTTGGCAAGGAGCTGGTCCTGAAAGACTTTTCAAGGATTATGCTTAGAGGCTCGGCTACGGTAGTGGATAGCTTTTTTTAAGAAGTAGGCACATATTCCGTCCAGTCCAATAGTTAGAGATGATTTTAGATTGCGTAGTGCTTTTTCAACATTGTCTTCTGCAAAATCGATATGTATTAGATTATTGTACTGTAGTTGTCTGTGGTTCGACTAGGAAATACTGGGCATGATCCATTGCTGTTTACAAATACTGAGCCAAAGAATGTGGCTTCAAGAGGCCTTAAAGAGGTTGGCTTTAATGGTGTTGTCATTGCAGTCTTTACCATTAAGTCCTTTCAGGGGTGGGATGGACCTTGAGTCTTTTAGTTTGTTGTTTATAAAATTGTCGAAAGCGCGGGTAGAATTGGTGCATAGAAGATTTTCCTCTTGTTTAATGTGATAATTGGTGCATTCAGTTTTTATCTGGTGGCATAAATTTTTGTATTGGCTTTTGAACTTGGCAACATGACCAGATTTGTTTTTCTGCCAGAGTGATCTCTTTTTGGATTGAAGTTTCCTTATTGTTTTGGGTAATTTGTTTTTTCTGGTTTTGGGAGTTGTTATTGGTACATATAGTTTGATGACTCTTTTGACTTCAAGTAAAAATATGTTGTTATGGTCTTCAACAGTATTGCATCAAGTGAATAGAAATTGCCAATCAAGGGATGAGTGATCGTTATCTATAAGATCATAGTTGCCTTTTTTGAAGTTATAATTGGGGATTACATCATGATGATTTTTGTGTGGATCTATGTTGAGACCCAAGTCAATCATGTTGTGGTCACTGTTGGAAAAAGGTTCTTTAATTTGTATTCCGTAAATTGGATTCAAACTATTGTATAAGATGAGATTGAGACAGTTGTTAAATCTAGTATTGTTGGTTACTAGTTGTTCCAGTCCCAGATCTTGGTATGATCATGAGAAGATAGCAGCCAATGCTATGATCTTGTTCTAAATTACAGTTCGTCCTCAATTTACAACCATAATGGAGCTTGGAATTTCCATCGTAAATTATGATGGTCATAAGTCAAGGTAACCATGTAACCAAGCCCAAATTTTTGCTCTTTTTTTTTTGTGGTGGTGGTCATCGTTAGATGAACAAGATCATTGTAAATCAGATCAATGTATTCTTATGATTGCTTTTTTTGTTGTTGCCAAAAATTGACCAAAAAAGCTGAAAACTGACTAAAAATCATAAATTGTGGTCACATGATTGTGGAATGGTGCAACTGTTTGTAAAGGTGACTTGGTTGCCAAATGCCCAATAAATGATCATGTGACCAGAATAGGGTTCCTAGGTAGCTTTTGGTGAGTGGTTGCTAAGAAACCAGTTAAATGATGACTACCTGTAATTCTTTCCCTGATTGCCTTTGGAACAAAAAATGGTAGCTGAAGATTCAGTACCAGATCTTTCAAACCTGGAGTATTTGTGTCTTAAAGATTCTATATTCAAGAATATTGTACCAAATCAGTTGCTGCTCTTTTAGTAGATTTGACAATATTATTTATTTTTTTAAAAAATGAAATTTTAACACATCAGTTCAATCAGCTGAGAGAAGGGTAGGGACCGAGAGAATGTACCTCTTTGATTTATATCATAGAGGGGAGTGGTAGAGTTGTATATGCAAAGAATTCTTCTGTGGATTCACAGAGACTCAATTTTAAGACAACACAATACAGGAGACTATATAATGTATTGCCTTTACTTTGGAAAATGAGAAAGTGCCTTAAATTTTAATATTAATGATTTCTGATTTATGAGTAAATTCCCCAGAGTCCTTGTTTTCTGGTATATAGTGCATTTTAACTCTGGACCATAACACATCTGATGGGAGCTTTTGCAGTAGTCTTATAGGTACACAAGCTGTTTGGTTTGTTGCTTATTTATTTGTTTGTTTAATTTATATCCCTATATATAATTTTATATTAGCACAATGCCATGGAAGTATTAATTAGCAGCCTTGTTCCCACTCACATCCTGAGTGAGTAGCGGATTTCAGAGCTTGGACCACTGTTTTGAGATGAGAGAACAGCAATGACATGGATGGGGCAGATGATAACATGGTGCTTCCCCTCAGTGGTGGGATTCAATTTTTTTTACTACCAGTTCTG